ACAGCTTGCACGGACGGACAGACAGACATCCGGATTTCAACCCTACTCGTCACCCCGATCACTTTGGTATATATAACCCTATGTCTGACTCTTTTAGTTTTAGGACTTACAAACAACCGTTATGTGAACAAAACTATAATACTCTCTTTAGCAACTTTGTTGCGAGAGTATAAAAATGAAAATTTAGTATTTAGTAGTATTTAGTTGGAGTAGTATGCCAATACCACATACAATTAATATTCCACGTACTAAAAAAATCAGCAATCATTTGGAGTAAAGTCAGTCGAATGTTTGAAAATCCGAATACATATTATATATGTGGGGGCTAGGTCAAGTTTTCGTCCAGTTTTTTAGGAACAAAGATACGTTCTCGCTTTTTCATTGGCAGATACAAGCGGAATAAAGTCAACTGAAAGTTCCAAACTCTTTATATTAGGTATATATAGGGAACAAGGAAGTATTGACCCGATTTAATCCATTTTTGATACACAAAGATACTGTTATCCGGAGAAGATTATTTTTGAATTTCAATCTTATATCTCATACATTGTCCGATATATTCGGTCAAAAGTTAACTATAGATACTAGGGTGCACATATTCGGCAATTGGTAGAATAAACCAGGGGGTGTAATGTGGTATAATCATGCTTATGGGTAAGCAATTACAGTCGTAGGGCTATACCCATTTCGTACTCTTGCCCTGGAAATGTCAGTAATACTTGCGAAAGATGCGGTTGAAGTCTAAGGTCACGGCTAAAACTTCAGCGCATCCACTCTGATATATTCGGTATAAGGGTTCACGATAGGCGCGGCTGCGAGCGGGCACTGGCCTTGAAACAAGCGTGTCGCTATATAAAAGTTTATAAAACTCTATACCACTCACAACGTTGTGCGCTGGGTGTGTGATCATGCAAATGGAATGTCCGGTCCCTAAATTCTAAAGCTGCCGATGCTAAGCTCGTTGATGTCCTAGTAAAGTAAAGGCTGACATCATCGTCGTCAATGAAATTCAATAGACGGGACAAGGACGCACACGAGTTGGTCCTTGTAACATTTACTACAGCGATCATATAAAAGAAGGCAAATTCAGTGTGGGATTCGTGATAGCAGAAAGACTTAGTGGTCGAGTTCTGGAATTCATCCCGGTGAATACACGTTTAGCCACAATCCTCTTCAGTACAAAAACTTTTGTATACAACACTAATAAAAGATGTTTTTTTATGAGAGGCTAGACCGCGCCATGATGTAAAGAATATGCTTGGCAATTTTAACGGCAAGGTTGGCGAAGAAGGCATCTATGGTACAACAGTCAGAAATTTCCGCCACCTTAATTAGCAAAAAGCAGCAAAGCACGCTCGTCAACAAATACAGGGAAGGTAAGGCGTCTAGAAGCTACTATCACAAACCCCTTGCGCACAATTGCAAGAGAAACCATTGATTTTCGTAAAGGTCAAAACCAGCTGGTACAAAGAGAACTATCGTGTCGGACTTAAGACAAAGCGGACAGCTTCCCTCGCAATGTTGCGATCGACCATGGGATGGATACCGAGAGTTGAAGAACGGAGCACCACGCATATACAGAAAAGAAAAGAAAGTGGCCGAAATGGGTGAGTATGAAGAGCTTGAGAAGCTGGCCGACAGGTGTAATGCTCGAAAATTCTACGAAAATATTCGCCGACTAACGGAATGTTCCAAGACCGAGGCATACTCCTGCAGTACCTAAAGGGTTGATCAATTGACTCATGTGCAGAGCATACTGAAGTTATGGAGGGAATACTTCTCCAGCCTGCTGATCAACAGACAATGTATAACATTTGGATAAGGCGAACCTGAGTTCCTAACCGATGACGATGGAATAGAATAAAGGATATGATATTAATTATGATATATATTTTACTAACAACCTGAATCTACGGTAAAAGTTTCTATTTAAAAAATGCAGGTTTATATTTATAAGGAGGAAAGAAGATATAGAACTCTTTTAAACCATACTATAATATCTTTTGTATGTTACCAAATATAACGTAAGTTTTGCCTTAATCTTCTATCTTCTCATTTTGCTACGCTTTAGTAGTGACACTTTTTAAGGGGGTATTCTAGTCTAGAAATCAAATTTTGGGCATTTTTTTGAATTTTATTTAAAGAAAAACCAAAAAATATTTTTACTATCCATTTTTTATGGTGTTTTTTATTAATGTCTTAAGAATACAAAAAAAAAAATTACAAAAAATATTAAAAAGTAAAATAATTAGTGGGGGGGAGAGACAGGGGTTAAAAAAAAATGGCGCATCCTGGTGACATTGATCCTGACTCTCCTGGTAGTCGGCAAAAAAAAATCAAAAGAAATTCTTAATCAGTAAGGATTCTGTTATAGTCCCTACCTCAGGGAACATGAAACAATTTCTTTTTTTTTGGTTTTTTTTTTTTTTTTTTTTTTTTTTGAAAAATGGCGACTGCCTGCAAATAAAAATCATTTTTTACGTTTTTTTCTTTTTTTTTTTAAATATTAAAAACAAAAATTTTGACACGATGCTGGTAAGAACGATAAAGGATTATATAAAGAAGGTTCACACAAAATTTCAAGTAAATCGGTTGTATAGAACTTGGGATAATGCCGGTAACGAAATAGTTTCGAGAAAAACGCGTTTAAAAAAGTGAGTCAAAGTTCCGGCAGTCTAAGTCATTTATTAGTGCGCTAGGTACTGCGTCACTAAAGTAACTGTAGCTCTTAAAATAATTTTAATTTTTAAAAATCCTTTTATAGGATATGTTCTTAAGGGTCTAAACTTTAAATATATGGAAATAATCGAATTTTTAAAAATTCTAGAGTAGAATACCCCTTAGAGATATGCGATTGGTATGCAAGTTCTGTCAATATAATAGACACCGTTTATTCATAGAGTGAACAATAAGCAGTCAATTCAAACTTGCTAAGGAAAAACTAAATTACACAAATATTAGTCTGTTTTGAACGTATCACTATTTTTAAGTTTAACTCGCAAATTAGCCTCAAGGCTGGAACGAACAAATTCTCAATCTTTTACGCTCGCTTTCAGAACGGTTGTTGCATTATATACAAACTGACAAAGTTCACTTTTAAAAACATAGAAAGTCGCTTATTTCATTACTAATTTGACTTTTGGCTTCATGATGTTTTTCAACTCTTTTCGCTGCATTGAATTGCTGCTTCCTGCGCCATTCTCCACATACTGCCAAACAGTGCATTGCTTGTTGCTCAAACGCCACGTTGCCTCGTCGCCGTACGCGACGTACAAATTGTGAATGACACAAACCTTTTATTTGCTTAAAACTTATCCACATGTGACTGCAACGCCCCCAGCAACAAATCTATACACGGAGCATTGAGCGGGGTTTCGGAACGGGCAGGATATACAATTCTATTTTTTACACTGCTCAGCTGCTGAATTTTCACTTTTGCTGACACAGACAAAGGCAATCATTTTGAATTCCATTAAATGCGTACAATAACTGTAAAAGCGATGCGCACTTTCGGCCATATAATCTTTTATTTATTTTCTTTTTTCTGCCTTCGCGAGTTTCATGCTAAAAACAGCGGTGTTTTCCTTGTCTCTTTAGCGGTTTTATTTTTACAGTTTCACTGCGCTTTTTACTGCGGCCTGCGAATTTATCCACTGATGACATTTTGTCTTTTTTGCCAGTTAAAAATGGAGATATTAACTTTAAATTGCTGCAGTTTCGTGTAAAATGCTATGACTTTGATTTTGAAAACGAATTATAGTACCGAATGACAAAAGCCGTTAGCTTACCTTTGCAAATGTTTTGAGAAGACATAAATTTTGTGGACGGCGGGGATTAGTCTTACCCAAAACAAGAAGAATATTAACTTCGGCCATAGCTAAGCTAGTAAAACCCTTTACAAACGATTCTCTACAATAACTTGGCTTTGATCGGCCAGTTTGTATGACAGCGCACTTGTCTAACCGCAGCACTTGAAGTCATGCTGGAGCTCACACCACTGCATCTAGCGATAAGGCAGGCAGCAAAGCATACCATGCTGCTCATGGCTATCCATGGAAATGGGATTTTTTCCGAGCTTCTTTCAAGCAGATTTCTTTGACATAACTCAGTGTGCAGAAATCAATCTCCAACGCAACTATCGCAAGCAGCTTATTGCTATACTCAGCGGCACTAAAAGCGATCCCTGCTTATGAAGTCAAATCGCTATTAGTGTAACAGTTTACATCTGTGTACATCTGATCTGGGTATCTTGGTATAAAGGGATAGGCGGCAATGAGTTGGCCGACGATCTAGCTCACTTTGCGGCAGGTTCCACCATAAAGTTGTTGCTCCACACGTAGTAGAGTGGGAAGAGAACGGCACTTGCCGCAGACAATAGGAATGTGCCACGCCAAGTTACCATTGAGAGGTTACAGCATAGCAAGTTTTGGAGATACGATCAACCTCACTCGGGACAAATTCCGTCTCCTTGCCGCGCTCTCTAGGCACTGCAGGCTCAGGAAATACTTGTCCAACATGTGCATAGTCCCAGCAATTTGTAGAAGCAAGCTCAAGGCACTTCAATCTATCTACGTGGACAGGGAATTGTTCAGGTTGCTGGACCTTTGGGACCATATGTAATATAGGAGAGCGCACACCATAGATCGCTGTGAAAAACCTCAATTATTCTATACCTTCTATGGCAGCTATATGCTATAGTGATCTGATCAGAGCGGAAGTTGTAATATCGATTGAGTCAAAAATCCCTGTCAAATTTCTTGCAGACTTTTCGTTAAGTGAAAAAATTAAATATTTTACGCTGCTCTCCAGAGAATCGAGCACAGATAGCACAGACATAATAACAATATGTGTTAAAATTGTGTTAGATGCGAAGAAGTTTCTATTTATGAGTACAATGTTTGCAAGTAAGAACAATTTTTTTTTTTTTTTTTTTTTTTTTTTTTTTTTTTTTTTTTTTTTTTTTTTTTTTTTTTTTTTTTTTTTTTTTCACAACAAACAAAACCATAAATCATTCTCTTACAGGGTCGCCCGAGTTTTACGAAAATTACAAACATGCGTGAATTAATAAAATAACTACTCTTCGAAACATCAAGGTCCGGCAGATCAAATATCGATGTAAGCCACTAAAATAATACATACAATATTACAGTACACTTGCTTAAGTATTGAAAGCAAAAATGCATGTAAGTTTTAATTAGAAAAACTCTCTATTTTTCTACAGATTTATCAAGAAACAACATCACGAACGTAAATCGAAATAACTTCCGAGGACAGGATAATTTACATGAGTTGGACTTGTCCAAGAATAAGATACTAAACATATCCAGTACAACGTTTGGTCATTTAACCGTAAGTATGCAACAACAAAAAACAATTTAACCACCTTGAAAAGGCAAAATATGTCGTAAAGAGAAAGTCAATCAGCTGCCCAACCAAACCAAGCGTTTAATGTTTAATTTGCGCCTCACTGTGATTGCCTCTCGTTCTTTTTCTCGCCGTCACTTTTTGAGCGACGCCTTGAGCATTCATTTTAAAATTCATCAGAATGCGGATGGCAAACGCGTAAATACCAACTTAATGTAATCATCGCATTGCACCGCCAAGGCGCTCGGCTGATGACTTGACTGTGAATATATGTATGTATAATATGTATATTTTATATGGATTCGATCAGGCCTTAGCAACCGAAAGCCAATGCGCGTCCGGCTTCGCAGCAGCTTGGTCACTGGTCGGGCTTTAAGCTCGTATTTACTTTCATTTCGCTTAAACTGCCAATGGAGCCCCTCTCTGCCATCTTATTCGCCGGGTTTTTATCACCCGAACGTGGGCGGTAATAAATTTTACGTTTTATTTTGTTTTCTATCCTCGCTCATGCGTTTTGTATTTACTTTTGCCGTTTTTGTTGTTGTTGTATTGCACATTGCAATATACACATTATGCTTCTTCGCTCTGCATCTAGTTAACGGTACTCAGCATTCTACATGCATCTGCTCTTAGCCGTGCGCTCAGCCTTAGTCTTACGGGTCACTAGCGTCTCCGTGGGAAATTCTTTACAAATCTTCACTTTACTTTGTATTTTGAGATATTTATAAGAATATTTAAGTTTCACCAGGGCCCCTTGTTCCGTTGGTGATATGAGTGCAGCTAACCTGGGCTCAATTTGATGCACAATCGTATGACTTTTACAATCTTTCTATCTCGTTTAACCGTTGTGTTAACACGATTTGGTGCTCTCAATGATACCAATTACATCCATTATGAATTCTGTAGATAGTCATACAAGGTTTGGTGCCAGATAGATTTCCAAGCTTCCTGTGTCGGATCGGACCCTTTGCAGTGGTTCATAGGAATGTTAAAATTCCTATACCAATTATATTTAAAAAATCTCTGCCAAGCGTCTACCCAAATGTTCCTACAGGGTCCTATTTCACCATCATATTGTGTGCGGGTCAGCGTAAACACTTAGCATGTGCATGCTTGCACTCCTCCAAGATTTTCTAGTGGACCGTATTCGTAAAATAAATAGCGAATGCGAAAATTCTCTGTCTCGTCTTGTTTTTTTTAATTTGTCTTCGCTGGCAAAGCTTCCGCTTACAATATTTTACAACGGTCCCGCATTTCTATTTCGAAAGATATTTATTAGCGATTACTATGGATTAATAAGGATAGAGTGTTTGATGAATGAACACATAGCGAAGGAAACTAAACGAAAATTTATGGGCCACCTATTTCGAGAATTTAGTGCGAAGTCTTGAAAGTCAAGGAAACGTACAAGAAACATAAATTGTGGTCACAAATTATAGCTTAACAAAAAGCGGAAAAATCGTCTTTCTCTCAACACATACATAAATAGTTTTCTAAGCGTGCACTAAAGAGTACAGAAATGTAGTATACGTAAAGTCAGAGATGCACTACTCACACATTCGGTTTCACTTTTGACTCAAATTGAAAATTCGAAGCTCTTTAAGCAAGAGCACAGAAAATATTTCATTATTTTTCTGAAGCGCCAATTAATTTAGGCTACTGCTTATAAGATATTCAGTTATGACCACACACTTTGCTTAAGCCGGTTTTAGTCCGCATTCGAACAATTTCTTCGGAGATTGCACAATTGTTTTTTATAATAACACATGACAAATTTCTTGGAGATATCTTATGGAATAAAAAAGTTTTCCAAGGCAAGCACCCTATTCCGATCGTTCAGTTTCTACCACATGCATCATCGATTGGGTAATCGGTTTCACCATATCTTGGTGTTATGCTCTCACTGCCATTCAGCAGGTTGTAGAAGTGTTCCCTCCATTATTTCAGCATGCTTTGTGCATCAGTCACTAGCGGCATCTCTTCGTAAAACTTTCGAGCATTATTCCTATCAACCAGCTTGTCAAGCTTTTCATACTCAGGCATTACGGCCTCTCTTTTATTTTGTGTGCAAATGCGCCTCGATTTTATACAAAGTTTCTAATGAGTGCTCACCGAGAGCAGGAGTGGAAGTTGAGTCTTTATGTTGTGATTGAAGCTTGAAGAAACGGGTGCTTGTCTTCGCTGCAACAAGATAATGGATCGTGTCAATATTAATGGCTCGTCCGTCTAAAACACTGAAGACATGTCTTCCGTCTATCACAAGATATTCGATCTGGTTAGGAGCTTTCCGATCCGGAGACTGGCAGGTAGCTTGATACATTTTTCTATGCTGGAATCTTGTGCTATAAATAACCATATTTCGGGTCTCAGCGAAGTTCGTCAGCCTCAAACCATTTGGAGATATTTCACCATGAATTTATCTACCGATTTGCCAAAAATACCTTCTCACCCACCCTAGCGGACTCTCATAGGTGCGCTCCAAGCGCTCATAGAAGGCATCTTTGTTCACATCGTCCTTCTCTTCCGTCGGGGCTTGGGCGCAGATCAGCGATATGTTGAAGAACTTCGTTTTGATGCGGATTGCGGGTAGACGTTAATCCAAAGGGGTGAATGCCAGGACCTGGCGACGGAGTCTGTTACTCACCACAAATCACATACCAAATTTGCGCTAATTTATATGGCCACTGTAGTATGTGATACAATGACCTAGTGGCCTCAGGCCTTGTCCGGTCCATCGCATTTCTTGGACGGCGGTGATGTTATATAAACATACCGGCAAATTTGTAATACTTCAATTAACTTTTTCGATAATAATATGGGCAGGTACTACATAAATTATTTATTTCAGTAATTTTGGTTAACATTATCATTTTTCAAATGGAAGATATGGGTGCCTGCCGATTTCTTTAACAAAATCTAACATTTCTCTTTCTCAGGAACTTCAAAGACTCAATTTGGCTGACAACTCTATATTGGAGCTCGTGCCGCGCATATTTTTCCTGCTTAACAAATTGCGGTATCTCGACCTGAGCGGAAATCCATTGCAAGACCTGCCACCTGATGTGTTTCGCGATTTGCCGGTAAGCCCTACTATTGCACTCACGAACATAATTCCTTCTGCTGTCATTCAAATTCGGAAAAAACATACGCTAACTGTCCTTAAATTGCGTACATGAGGCGTGTGAAGCGGAACGAAATTACCGTTACGAGCTAGGATTGAAGAAATAATCAATCGGAAATTGAAATGAAAAGCCAATTCAAACAAATATTTTGTTGTACTGTCTCCACCTTCTATTTAACGGTTGTTCTTTATGCCTTCCACAGGAGCTGCGCTTTTTCAAATGCCGTAATTGTCAATTGAAGAAAATCAATCCGCAGTTGTATAACTTATTGCCAATGCTGCAAGAGCTGGATCTGGGACGTAATGAGGTAAGCGTGGCGAATTCACGATAGAAATTATTTGAATGTGTCTGTGTGCGTCTGTATATTTTTATGAACTCACAAAGCCACACCTTAAATCAATGCTGTATTTATTTTTGCAAGTCATCGCTTTTGGTTGAACATTTTTGCTTCCTCACAGACGATGACTTTTGACTTTTGGCATTATTTCTTCTTTGCTTGAATTCGCCTGAGTTCTTTGAATGTTGGCAAACATCATTTCATTGTGAAAAATTAACCGCCATTTGAAATTTGCCTGCTTTGATGCTTTTTGCTCTCATTTTAGTTTAAATTCCTCGACAAGGATGAATTTCGCGACGTCAAAAATCTCACCAAAGTCTTGCTTGATGGCAATCAACTGTCCGTCGTTGTTGATGAGCTGTTTCAAAATCAAAAGGTTCTGCAACACTTGGGTAAGTTTGTTAACAGCAAAGTGCCGCACACAATTTGCGCTTTAGTGCGCCTAAAAGCCTGCTACACTCTACTGTCGCACTTCATATTTTGCTATTCACAGACTTATCGTACAATCGACTGGCGAAAGTGCCCAATGACTCGTTTAAACATTTGGGCAATTTAACGTTCCTGGATTTGTCATACAACAAGCTGGTGCGACTAGAGCCGCAATCAGTGCGGCGGCTGAACAATCTGCAAACGCTGAATATTAGCGGCAACGTGCAGATGAATTTGCTCGACATGCGCGAAACATTCGAGGTGAGTCTAATCCATATATGAATGCAGAAAACCATAATCGACAAAGACCATTCAGTGAAGTTACTAGAAATACAAATTCTAAAGTGATTTATTGCTTAATTTTTCGTGAAATATGACCACAGTTAAAGATCACTGAAAGTAGTTCCGCAAAATACGTGAGATGCGGAGTCAATTTATAGTAGGGTTTTGAGAAAAACGCGTTTAATGTTTGATGCTAGCGCTTTGAAGTGCCCGAGCTCCCTTTGTTATTTGTCGAATAACTCAAAAAGTAATTATTTATAAACGTGAAATTTCAGAGAATATTTTTAAGGTATTACGCTTATCGAAAACGCAAAAAAAAATTTGTTTTTTTGGAGAATTCTGATTACCCCTAACCCCTTAACGCCCGGTGCATGGCAACGTTAAAATTCTGACATTTAAATCAAACAAATGAATTGAATACGTTCAATACTATAATTTGCCGGCGCTGTTGAGTTCAGTTTCATATATTCGTAAATTCTAACTAAATGTCGACAGCATCATTAGCTAGGTTGTGCTATATTAATCTGGCGGAACAGAGAGCTACACAGAGGCCAGTTCTGGTTCTTTGCTATAGTAGATAGAGTTCGGTTCCTAGGTCCTTGAGGTCCTTTATGATGCCTGCCCTTGGCGCTAATTTTAACATACTGTATGGCCCCACATTCAATACCTACACCAGTGTATCATACCGTGAGTACTCCAGATGCTTATATCGTTCCAATGCGGGACGTGAGCACACGGCATGCTTCTTTGCTTCCCTGGTTCCTAACTATAGACATATCCTGCAGTCTTCTCGATTTGTCAGCCCCATCATGTGTAAGTGCGTCGCCTCATTATCTGGAGGTAGTTCTCCGGGTAGTCTCCAGGTAGTTCTCCGATCATGTTTTTCATGTGATCACGCTGTCTACATAGATGCATTCGCAATAGCAAAAAGCTCAGTTTAAAATATACTGCAGTGGTCCGGCAACTTAAAAGGCTGTCTTTACGCCAACCATAGTTTCCTATGTTTCCATTGAATCTTCTTTTCCAGTTCAAAAGTGTGATCATATAGTCGGTGTTTCCAAAGCCGCCATTACTCACCGAGCTCTTGCCGAAGACTCTATACCTAAATTATTCTGACACTAAAGCAGAATTGGTCTAACTGTGTAGTACCAGTGCATGAGATAGGGAGAGAGCCCTCAGGTTGTGCCGATTATCTGCCTTCACGCATAAAAAGCTTTACGTTGTAGAAGCAGTTTGCTGCCCAAGACTACCCCAAGGTATTTGGGGCGATTAATGAGAGAGATTTGTGTCCCGTTTATCGAAGGGAGCCTCTATAGACGAATTTTGTACTTTCTTGTGAGCACATGTAGATTTTTTTTCCGATTTCCTCCCCAGACCCATCCTACTTGCCTACTTCTAGAATGGCACATAGCTGAACTTCATGCATCCCCTAAATTGTTGAAAGATGTGTTCGGTAAAGTTTACCGCATTGTTCCCTTCATAGCTAGGACTTACCGTGTGCCTACAGCCAGAAAAATGCTCATTGACTAGGTCTACAAATGAGTTTTGGCAGTCCAGTCACCCACAGCATCTTAAATGTAACTTAGTTAACTGCTTCTGACATTTCTGCGAGTGTACAATACAGTTCCCATATAACACACATTGGGAATATCATCTTGTATGCTGCATGGACGTAAAAGAGAGCTAACTTTGAATTTAAGATAACATTGAAAACCACATAATCACTTAAAGCAATTACATTTAATCTGGCTTAGTAATTATATAATCTATCTCTGTGCAAATATTATGTTTGCCCAGTTTAAGTACCACATCTACAATATTAAAACTTTGGCACGACCAAAAACAATAAAAAACTTGCAATAAAACATACCGAACTTCCTGCTCAACTACTCAAAATTCGATTACCGCCCTGTGCTCATTGCTATCACTTACGGAATTTAATTTAACTGCTCTTATTGTTGTTGTCTCCCATTTTCAGGTCATACCACAGCTGACACATCTCTCGGTCGCCGACATGGGAGTGCTGCCGATGGGACTGCTGGTGCCGTTCAAGCAGCTGCGCTATCTCAACATATCCGGCAATCATTTGGACAATATGTCACTGCAAGTAATCGATCCGTGCCGGGAGCTGGAGGTGAGTGCTCAGCGGAGAAGAGTGAAGCGAGCGAAAATCCGGACAAATTTATAGAAATAAGTTGAAACAAAAGTTTTGCGGCCACTGGCTAGTTGAGCGTGGAGGCGCCTAAACCGAAATAGAATTGAATGTGTGTGTTTGTGTGTATTTTTGTGTTGGTATGTATGTATGTGTGCGACATGCCTGTCATGGCAGTAAAAAGCGATATAACACTCCCAACAACAATGTCCAAATGTTAGCACAGCGATAAAACCGAACACAAATTTGTGTGTGGCATGCAAGCTGGCAAGTCCAAAGCGTTAGCGCTTGAAATGAATAGAAATGAAAAGTAAAGTAGAAAAAAATAACAAACATGAAAAGAATATAAACTGAGGGCAAAAAATTTCGAGAAAACGAGAAAAAATTCGTCATCGCTCGTCTGCTACAAATTGCTCTGCTCTGCAAGCGGCAACCGACGTCGGACGTCCAACGACCGACCCAACAAACTACAGACCTACATTACGAGCAGCAGTGAGCGACAGTCGTTGCATCCATGCAAAGGCAATAACAAGTGTGGCGAGATATAAAAATAATATAACGGGCATGCAACATGCCACCCACAAAATTGCGCAACATACAAGTGCAAACTACATTGTTGTCACACATTCACCATTGCGTGCTGGCATCTGCCCGAACATTTGCAAGTGTACAGCTTTCGATGTGTTTATTGTTGTTGCGACGAACTTTCGATTATCTCTCGCCACTTTATGATTATAACAACAATTCAATTATAGCTGTTTCGTCCGGCACATTTTTTCTATATGAAGGGGTGTCTCCTGCTTACCCACAAAATGCAAACCCGGATTTTATGAATGTCCTCTTCATATTAGTAAAATGTGTATTCTTTACATATGTTAAATCACAGAAGCTTCAGAGGCTATATAAGCATTGTTTGTGAGATTGAATTTAGATGATGAATCATAAAATTATTAGAAAGCATCGTTAGCTTAATATATTTTTATAATTTGGGTACTAAGCGGGTATAAACAAGTAACGAAGGGCTGGCTACCCTAGCAACTAGCATGAGTCAAAGACGGGTAAATACCTTCAGATGTTGGCAAAACTTTATGTTAGGTTAAGCATATATATAGTTTTTTGAGAAGCCATAGAAAAATAGAAAAGAAGAACTCCTGTGTTCGACCTTAAGAATTAACAAAACGATTAGTAGTCAATACATATTTATACAGACGTTTAATTTTCATTCCTGCCCGTTTGTTGGGATGTCTGAAGGTATGCGCTACTCAGAGTTTAAGTGTTGATCTCGCAAAGGCGGAACAGTCAAGAAGGAAGTGTTGAGTTGCTTCCACCCCCGCTTCTACTGATGGCGTCTCGTTAGATTCACAGCCTTACAGCATGGACGCCAATTGGTTAAAACCCGTTAAAAGCCGTAAAACTAGACAGAGGCTAGCCTTACTGAGGGCAAAGAGGTCAATAGATCTCTTCCAATCGCTCTTTGGCCAAAAAGATTTTTTGACAGCGCATGTACTTGAGGCCCAGCGCTGGCCAAGCTCGCAAAGCTCGCAAAGCTCAGCTATATATAGTAGTAGAACACAAGATGTTTCAATTTCCTGTGATTACGCTGTGGGGTAGACTCATACCAGTCATATCAAACACTGCAACGATCAGGAAGTCGGAATCTGGAGCTTATATAAAGCTAGAGACAAGAAAACCCTCCACCAACATTCCATTTAAGCCATGCGTATAGAAGGTCACTCCCTCTTCTCCAACGGCTTTTTCCTACCCAGAACCCTCTCGCTGATATATGGGCAGAGAAGAAACCGCCAGAGCTCGGTTTAGCAACTCCATGATCCAAGTGATCCGGTATGAAAGTTTTATATTAAAAGTATTTAAAATAATTGAGAATTCCTAATTCGATGAAATTATTAATAGATCACAATCAATTTTTTCTGGGAAAATTTGATTATAATTTGACAAATATTTATCGGTTTTTTTTCGAATAATTTCCAATCCAGTTACGGTGAACACAGCAAGTTGTTTTTTTTTTTTTTTTTTAAATACATTCTAGGGGGAAGCATAACGGGGTAATGCTTCAATTTGAATGAACATTGTATTCCATATTTCCAAAAGTGTGCTCAAGGATGTCCAAAAGGTCGAAATAATGTTCATGTCCAAAAGGTCGAAATAATGTTGCAAAAAAGTACATTTTTTAGCTTAAAACTTAAACGTCTCCCTTAAATAATTACGATATATATACTACAGGTAATAGAGTCAGTTAAATTTTTTCAATATTTTATTTTGCGCCAGCTAAAATCATTTAATTTTATCAGCTTCAAATGGGATATATAGTACATACATACATACTTACTTATGTACTATTACCTCAAACAATACGTTTGGGAGGAAAATATCAGCAGAGGATCGGTATTCATTATATGAGGAATATGAGCTTTAGACTACCTCCCGTAATGTAAAGTGCTAAATCATTAATAGAATTTTATAATCTGAAAATATATATTTTTTTTTTTTTTTTTGTTTTTTTGCCTCACTAAAGTATATACAAGAGTATTTTCTTATCGGATTTTATGAAAATAGGTCCCACAGAAAACTAATGTTGATAATATATAGGAGCTGGAAGATTGATTTACTAATTTTCACACATGTTCGACATTAAATTGCCTAGTTAGTACATTTTAACTTAATTTTCCTGAATACCTTACATATTCAGCGACATAAGCGATGTAAAGACAGTAAGAAGATTAAAATTCGAATATTAGATATTTGGGAGCTAGATGTAGTCTTGACCCGATTTGATCTCTTTTTGGCACAAAGATGCACGGTTGTTAGAAAACTGCTGCCACTATATTTTATTGAAACAGCTCATAAATATATTATTTTGAATATATAAGAATATTTTGACATGATCTTCTGCAGTTTTGGTATTATGAAATATTACCAGAAAACAATGCACTTTGAGTTTCATTAATATATCTCCACATATTGACCATTATATAATATGTAATGTAAAGTCAACGGGATATTTGAAAGTGAAAAATGATATATATGATATATTCGGGAAAAGTCAGCCATATGCCTTGAAGTGTACATATTTGTTACCTAGGCGCTTGAGCAGTTGGGACCCAATTTTGACAATTTTTAGATATGAGTTAACTCGAATAAAAAAGGTACGATGTTTTGTCCCAAAATATAATATTTATTGGTGCTATAGTGGAAAGTGAAAAGCAATTGGAATTTATATTTTTGTTGCATGTTAAGTAAGCAGGGTTGTGTTGTGTAGTAGTTTAAAAAGATCAGGATAATGTTATATACTGAATTGGCGGAAATGGATGAATTAGGTCCCAATATATGAGTTTTCACGCAAATGCGGATGGCATATAGTCCAAAATTGAAACGGACTCTTTTAAAGCCCAGGAACCCATGTGAAAAATTGTATGTATTTAGTAAATATAGATTTATCGCACTTTTAGTAGTTTTTAAGGGGAATAAGGTTGGTTGTAATCCGAATTCACCTATTTTCACAATTTAAGTAGGATTGCCAAAAATATTTGTCCTGCGTGAATTTGTTACTACAATTTGTACGGCTTATGCCAAATGTACAATAAATAATTATAGGAGCGTGAGACTAATCTCACTTTTTAAGCATTTTTCAACTGTAGATGTCCTTCCGTAATGGAATTCATTGTTCTTCATTAACATATAGCCTTATGTGGAGCTTAATTATGACACTTTATGAATTTTCGATTAATGACATTTTGTGGGCGTGGCAATGGTGAGTTTCCGCCCATATACATTGCAGACCCGAAGTATAATCAAGATATGTGTATTAAAGGTATTTTTGGAAAAGTTTGCCACTTGCTTAAATACTAATTTCATTAGCAAAATATATTCAATATTAAGACCATTATCTCTCTTATAAATGGCGTTAGTAATCAATATCTCACGCCGCCTTTTCAAAATAAGAAGAGGACATCAACAAACTTCTCATTCCATATTTCACCTAAATCTTCAGCATATGTGCTACATAAATCCCTAATTTAGTGCATAAAATAATTTTTATTGCAGTTTAGAATATGTTTTTACYTTGCTTATCAAATAAATAATAATAATAATTTTTAATATCGTATATTATCAGTTCAGAATATTCCTAAAATTTTCCCTCCCCTTAAATTCTAGCGTACATTACGGATAAATCAGGATATTTTCAATTCCGAAATGGGTTGCCTTATTCACAAAGTTATTTACCGTTATATCAAAATGCAAATAATACTGTTTGGAAATAATTTACGATTTCTCAATCATTATCCTAGTTAAATGAATAAATATATTTGTATATATGTACATATACATATATACTCTGTATATAAATTAGTTTCCTACTCATTTACTTTGTGAGAAATATATTCAAATCATATAAATTTACATGTAAATAAAAAACGAAATACAAAAATTTGAAAAAATATTTGCATACAATGCAATCAGTATGTAATATGTGTGTACGCACATATTCCGCATTTCACGCAAATAGTTCGCCGCAGCACTCCAGGCGTTCGCCTGCTTCCGGGAAATAGTGTTTGCGGTTGCTGTTGGCTGAAATGAAATGAACAACGAAATCAATATTAAACAAACATGTTTGAATATTTTTCGCATTTCTGGCATTTTTTAGGATATTTTCAGTTAACATATTTCATAATGTAACGCTAATATTTATCATTATTAGTATTTTATACCGTTTGAAAATTTACGGAAGCATTTCAAGAGATTACTAATTTTGCAGCAAAGTGTAGTGGTTTCATTAAAGTGGGATCCTTGAAAAACGGAAAGTAGTTGTTAAAATGACCTTTATGAGGGGCTCTGAACAATAACAATTTCATAGTTGCTTCGTTGTAAAACAGCGGAAGATTTACTAGTGCAAATTTAATAAACCCATCAAATATATGTTACCAGATTTCAATCAAGGCGAGTTATATTTCGAAAACTGAATACATTGGAAGTCTAACTACACCCATGATTTTGTATAAATATGCATATTGATATTTATCTTGAAAATTACAATATTAGTTTTCGTGCATAATTCCGAGCAGGCACGATATAAATTTTTGATCGCATTTATTTAGTGAACCTTCAGCTTCTCAGGTTTTCTGCGCATTAATTTACTTTATATAAAGATATCTAAGTTAAATTCATTATAATATCCCGCTCAACATGCACAACCATATAAGTTGCCTTGGTACAATAAGGCCCTCAAACGTTTAAAAAATCTTAGAAATAAATACTACAGAAAATTCTCTTCAACTAAAACTCATGTTTCCTTTATTCAATACCAGCACTACACAAAACTGTTCAATGAATTGGACAAGTTTCTCTATAAAAGGTTTTTTAATAGTACAGAGTCTTCAATCAAGTCGGACCCTAAGCTCTTTTGGAACTTTGTAAAATCTAGAAGAGCGTGTTCGGCCATTCCCTCTGCTTTAAGCTGGGGTGATAATTCCGCGTGCACACCTGGCGACATCTCCAACCTGTTTGCTGAATTTTTCCAATCGAATTATGCTCACGACGATCCTGGTATTAGTTCCACTCATTCGGCTAATAACTTTCCATCCATAAATTTTGGCAGACTGTGTCTTTCACAGGATAACATTGCCAAGGCTATTTCTGATATTAAGTCTTCTCCCAAATTGGATTTGGATGGGCTTCCACCTGTACTTATAAAAAATTGCATCGCCTTGGTATATCCTCTCATGCTCATCTTCAATAAGTCTCTCTCCTCTGGGAATTTTATTGCTGACTGGAAATTGACATGCATTACCCCTATTCTGAAAGGTGGTAGAAAAGACGTAGTCCCCAATTACAGACCTATCTCCAAACTTTCTACTGTTTCGAAAATTTTTGAGTATTCTGTTAAAAATAAATAATTTTTTGCAGTAAAATCTATAATTAATGTAAATCAGCATGGGTTTGTCCCTGGGCGCTCCACTGTCTCAAACTTAGCGATTTTTAGCGATTATTGTATGTCTGCATTCTCCGCTGGATTTCAGGTGGATAGTGTCTACACAGATTTCTCTAAAGCCTTTGATAAAGTTTAACACAAAATTCTAATCAAAAAATTATCATCTTTAGGGTTTCACTCGGTTTTCTTGCAGTGGATTAAATYATATCTGCACAATAGACGATGCGTTGTCAGCGTCGATGGAGTGTCATCTGATACATTCATTGCGTCTTCAGGAGTACCACAAGGAAGCGTCTTGGGTCCACTTCTCTTTGTGCTGTTTATCAATGACATTTGTTGCTTCTCTTTCGCTAACTTTCTGTTATATGC